GCCGAAAGATCGTCGCAAATAAACGCTGGAGTTGTGCATGATGGTTTGACAGTAGTTAATTGTGGGTTATAATTAACGATGTTCTGATTGTACAAACTTCATAAAAATTGGTAAGTATCAAGTTAGGCAAGAAATACACACGTCCATATAAATTTTATTGGTGTCCATAGACAATATCATTAATTTGCACTACGTATAACTGAAGCGTAATTTTTAAAAGCTCCGAATGTTGGAAAATTTATGCGCTAATGGAAAAATTCAAATACCAGATAATAGTTATTTATTTTATCTAAATTATGTCAATTTCATGGAATTCCTAGATACAGTAGGCAATCCGTAGTCATTTTTATGAGCGGTATTCCAACACGGCGTAACGGTATTTTGTAACATTTCTAATTCATGACAGCAACGTTTTAATAACAGCTAAACTCAGGATAGTTGTCTAGATATAGAAATCTTGTATATTTGTTTTCCTGGGATGTTCTCGATCTTTATTCTGCGATATAGATAGAATTTAATATTCAAGTCTTCAGAAATGTAGAATATATATTGTTGAATGAATTCAATGGCTTTCCCAACTTTTGTGAATTTATTGTATTGCATTGACAAAAATATTCATCCGGCCCGTTTCAACACAGTTTGAGTCATACCCGGCCCGCGGTCAAAAAAGTTTGGTGACCCCTGGTCTAAATAAACGATAATATTGCAATACGAAATAGTTCACCTTATGCGGAGGCGATGTGGACAAAAGCAACTCATATATTTTAGACACGTGCGCGAAGTAACAAAACGCTTTCGCAAATGATCGAAACCTAGACATTCGACTTTATGAAACTTTTTCCCCGGCTTCAGAAAAGTTTGACGGGGAAATCCTACAGGGGTGGTAGCACAAAAGTCATATTTGGGGGGCAAAATAGGGCTGGAGAAATGCGGTCGTTGCGTGTCAAATTGGGGGTGACGAAATACGGTCGGTGCGTGTCAGATTTGGGGTGACGAAATACGGTCGATGCGAAGAAACATCAAAGATTTGATTTCCGCATGTCAGAATAGTAACAGCACGTTTTGAACTGGACATATATAATACCAAACATGGCGTATATTTCGATGATTTTAGGAAAAATTTATATTTATCATAGTTAAAAGTGGTTTTGTATTTCAACTAAATTTACAAAAAAATTAAACAATTATCTTTTTTATTTTCGCATACACTGATACTGAACGTTTTTACACTTGGAATAAGTTACAGATATTATAAAATAACGATAAACATTATATGTCCTCTCGTGGATTTTTTTTTAATCTGAAAAATTACAATTTTGGTTGGACGATTTCTGGAAAACCTCCTATAAAGGCAGCAATACGACACACTGGGAAAAAGGGGAGACGTAATAGATACGATTTTATCGTGGCAAAACAGTAGCAGCAAGGTTTAATGGAAGTATGTATTTCCAAACATAGCGTATAAATGTAACATATTTTAAAGTGGATGCTTTCGAGAATCGCTTCTTGGAAAAGGTCATTTTCCTCGAGATGACGTTGACATTGATCGATTTAGATAAAACACAAAACCAATTCAAAATATTTTACGTTTGAATTGTTGAAATATCGAAGGATATGCGCTGTGTTTGGTATTACGTGCTGCTACTGTTCTACTTTGATGAAATGGAATCTATGAGGGTTTTTCTTTTCTTCCAATGTGTCATAATACTGCCATTATAAGACGTTTTCGTTTTTGAGATATAGCCATTCCAAAAACGATATATTGAAAATTTTGAAGAGTCTACGGGAGGGCGTGAAATTTGTTTTGTTCTTTCAAAGTAAGCTATCCGCAACTTATTCCAACTTTGATAGATGTCCAGTGTCAATTTATGACAAAATTTAAAAAGATAATTGTTCAATTATTCAGAATATTTAGTTGAAATACGAAACCTCTTTTAAATAAGTTACATTTAAGTTACAAAATCGAAGAATATACGCTACGGTTGATATTATATGCGACCTCGTCAAACCGTGCTGCTACTGCTATGAAGAAATGGAACATAAAAAGGTTCCCCTTCTCTTTTAATGTGTCGTAATGTTACCTTTATTTGAAATTTCTAAGAAATCGCTGTTTGAAGAAGATCTATTTTTACTATCGAAAAATTTTGAAAGAATCCGCAAGAGGACGTAAATTGTTCTACTATTACATTGTAATTTACACAAATTACAACAACTTGTTAGACGTAGAACACGAAATTTAGACAATAGTTTTAGAAAATATTTACTCGAGTGTTTAGTAAATTTGAGTGAACCACAAAACCCCATTGAAACATTTCTCGAATTGTTAAAAAATCGAACATTATACGCTGTGTTTGGGATTCAGCCATATCGAACCGTGCTGCTACTGTTCTGCTATGATGAAATGGAATCTAGAAGGGTTCTTCTTTTTTCTGATATTTCGTAACGTTGGCTTCATTGGAGGTTTTTAAAAAATCGACCAACCAAAACTGTAATTATTCAAAATGAAAAATAAAATCCACGATAGGCCGTATAATGTTTATGGTTATTTTATACCATTCCTAACTTATTCCAAGTGTATTAGACATTCCGTATCGGTGTATGAGACGATAAAAAAGGTAATTGTTCAATTATTTATTAAATTCATTTGAAATACAAAACCACTTTTAACTATGATAAATTTATATTTTTTTATGAAATTATCGGAATATACACTATGTTTTTGGTATTATATATGGCCAGTTAAAACGTGCTACTACTATTCTGCCATGGTGAATTCGGATCTACAAGATTTCTATTTTTCTCCTAATATGTTGTAATGCCGGCTTTATAGCAGGTTTTCGAAAAATCGCTCATTCAAAACTGTAATTTTTCTATATTTCTAAAGAATTAACGAGGTGGCGTAAAATGTTTTTTTTTATTATTTATTTTATACTCTCCGATACTTGTTTTAAATGTATTAGACGTTCAGTATCAAAGTAAAAAGATACTTGTTCAATATTTCAGTAAATTTAGTTTATTATGATACATATATATTTTTCATTAAATTATTTGAATATGCGCTATGATTGGCAATATATATGACCATGTTGAACCATGCTGCTGTTCTGTCATCATAATAAAATCGAATCTATAGAGCTACCCTTTTTCTTTAAATATATCGTAATGTTGGCTTTATTGGAGGTCATCGAGAAATACCTGCCTAAAAACGAGTCATTAGATAAACTGTTATCAATCATTCTCACCATACTTGTTTTACAGTTTATTCATTGCTACTGTTGCTTGTCTATGCAAACTACAGGGTTGTCGCTATAAAAGCAGAAAATTTATCAAACATTTAATTTTTACAAAAAATAACTCTAATGAAATTAAAGGCAAATGCTATATTACATTCATGGATGCTAAAAATGGCGTCTGTGCAAAGCAGTATCTTATTCCAAGAAATTAGTAAGAATGCATTTTATCCCTGATCTCACTCGAGCTTCCAAATTTCTGCTTTTCTAGCGACCACCCTGTATATTTCAAATGTGGCATCCAATGTTATCCAGCGAATCTAGAATTTAACAGACTACCGTAATTTAAAAGGTTCCACCGAATAGCACATAGCCGTATAATTATCATTTCAAATTTACATAAACATTTAAAAGATTATCCGTAACATTTCGAGTGCAATTTTCTGATTGGACCCATTTCTTTCAAATACTTTTTCTCATTTCGACTTTGTACATCCTGCTTTTTTTATGTCCTTTTGTGAGCGTAATTGCTGGAGAAAGATGTTTGAATTTATTTTTATCGTCTGCCTTGTATTTCAATCTGATTTCCTGTCTTTTTTCTGCGAAGCTATAAAAGAGGCAGTTTTCATGACCTCAATATTTGACAGCACTTACTTGTGCGAGCAAGTTTTTTCACAGATGACCCATGTCAAATCCCCCATGAGATCACTGATTTCGCTAATGAAAAATTCGCTCTGCATTGCTACCTTGTCCATCGCACCGAATATTGACAAACTTATTAGATAAAAGCGGATTCATACTTGACATTGAAATATATATGCGTAGTAAAAACTTTTGACCTTACTGTATCTTCGTATTTTCATTGTGCTTGTAATTTTATTTTGCGGTTTTGTTTGTTTTTCATTAATCTGCAGTCGGCGCAGTAAAAACTAGAACATAACCACCATGTCAAGTGGGCCCGCGCGATCATTCGTGAACTAGATGTGGCCCTTCGGCCAAAAAGGTTGGACCACCCTGCACTAAAGAATGCGTTTCATTCACTTAAATGGCACACCAGTCTAGGTATGCAAAATTTCTGGTTCAAAAACCTTGCCTACACCTGCTCTAGCTGCTAGATTATCTTCAACCGCTTTTAAATAGTGAAAATGATTGATCATGTGATTGTGGAAAAAAACGATTTTTTTTCGCCCTAACAACAAAAATTGTGGCCAGAGCATGAAATTATTGATGGTAGCATCGAAAATTTTAACTAAGTCATCAATGATTCATTAGCAGCCGACCTCAAAGCATATTCAAAGAACAAAAATCCCTAGCCACGACACTGATGGTGCTAAATGTTCTTTCATCTTCAATCCATATTGTTTTGAGGTCGGCTGCTAATGAATCATTGATGACTTCGTTAAAATTTTCAAGGCTACCACCAATAATTTTATGCTCTGGCTTCATTCATCACGACCCACTTGGCACTGCCACATTTTTTTGCGACACATGGAACTAAAATTTCGAAATTAGTAAAAAAAATAATGAAATTGACAAGACCTTTCTTTATTCTCACACAAAAGATCGTAACCTGGCTCTATTTCGCTGATAATACTCTCAATACTGGTACCAAATCTTTCAAATTTGTGCGATATTTTGTTCAAACATAGACGACATGTACTGTCAACTAGACGAGGGCTTTTCTCTACCCCAGAATAAATATGTGAATCCTATCCTATCCTGGGGCAGCAGTAACCTGTTTGACTATTACGAGTTATAGAAAATGAAAGATTTGAGTGCAATATTTTGTAATATAACACTGGTTGATATAAGAGTAAAACATCAATAAATGCGTGTGGCAGTGAAAAGTATGTTTGACATACGAAATTCATTAAAAAAATGCAAAAGCAGCTAAATAAAAACAGTGAAATTGGCTAGGTGGTGTTGTAGCAAAATGCTACATCAATAAAAACAGAATACCCATAAAAGGTATTGCATATATACAATGAATAAAATTCAATACACCATAAAACCAGATGCTGATATCAATGTTGAGGTAGAATAAACATTTAGTTCACGCTAAAATATATGCACATAAGTATATGAGCAATATCTACATAGTTGAAATGAATAATAACAAGTTACAAATGTATTTTACCTCAGGTAACTGATTTCAAAAACGGCAGTATATATACTTTATATCACATGAAAACATAATATACAGGGTGTCCATAGTGTCTCTTTATAATTTCAATTTTGTTATGAAGTTAGTTCTCAATATATCTCAACCAGGTTTGTTGTTTTTTAATCAGAAATTGTTCGAGTGTTTTTACCTCATTTGATACATCCGTGAGGGCCAAAACAATATATGTTATCAATAAATTCCCTTTGCAATTTTAAAATTGTTAGGACTTTATGGATACCCTATATATTTATTGAATAATATCAACGCCACCATGAACAACTGGGATTATTTTCAACTTTTACCCCCGAGAAATATTCTTTAAGAGGAGATAAAAGAAGACGGACAACAGGCACAGACCAAGATCTTCCCAAGAGAGTTAGTCTTTCTCGAGGGCCTAGGTTGTTGACATCTGTATAATGCTCAGGAACACCAAATATTCTAAAATATCAAATTTACTCATGTTGGTGAAATATTGCAGTCAGAAGTTCATTGAAAGATTGAAATAATTGGCAAAAACGATGAAATGTAATTATTGACAAATACCATTGCTATTGGACAGAAAGTAGACTAATGAATCGTCCTATTAAAATTCTTATGGATGTTGTGGTTTTTCTTAATATTGTTTTTATGGTACTATGGGGGTGAATATATCATAACATCTACACGCTCGATTACACAACTGAAGCCTTGTCATATTGGCACCAAAGCTAATATTAAGCATTGCTATTATATTTTGTCAAATTACGCATTTGAAATTTTGTTAATATTCTCGAATGACTGCACCCCGATCATTTTGAAATTTTGTGTACAGACCTTCAGTGAAAATAGTTGAGAAGCCCTGCCAATGGCTACATTACCTTGTATCCACTTCCAAGTTGTTTTAACCTATATATTTGTAATGCTTTTTTCTTTAAATCAAATTATATTTTAATAATAGTTTGAATTGACTCAACGAAAATGAAAATATACCTTTCAACTTCAGTTGTCCATAAAACATCTTCTTTGTCACCATGTTTTACTGGAGCCTGTCTTGCCTGACCTTGATAAAGACAGGTATACTTTGTAGTAATAGTGTTCAATTGTTTTACCATTGCTGTTCTGCCAGACTCCAAACATTCTTGAACGGTGAGTTTATCATTTATACCAGGAGTAATTTTACGACTGCAAAAATAAATGAAAAAGTCTGGTAAAGTTAAGTTCAAAATATTACCCATTTTGTTAAATTTAACATTTTTCCATTAAAATAAATTTATGCTGGATTTTAAGAAGCACGGAGAAAAACTAATTGCAAGACATGATTTTTCTGAAAAATAAATTTAAATATTTTAAAATTAAAATGAAGGTGAGAGAGACAAGATATTAAAATATGAAACCATCCCGATACACCACTGACCAATAAATATACTATCTTACTCTTTCAGTCCAGGAATATTTCCCCAGAATAGTCTTGGTCTGGCAGCAGCACTGACATTACGTGCATCAGCCATTTTTGCTTCACACTGTAAAAAGCGTGAGATTCTCTGTTTTTCTATGCCTTTCATCGACACAACATTTTCGAATAGCCAAAAAAATGGTATTTTTTGCTGCGATCGTGGGGGTTCTACGGTCCTTAGAACCCGATAAAAATCAAAAAACAAACAACCGCTGCCCTCTGCATCTGGAATGAAAGATTTAAATTGTCATATTGTGGCAGTCAAATTTAGGAAATTTTCTCTCTGAGAGCAACTTTGAACCCATATTCATTGATAATTGTTGTGTGTGTTGCTGTCTGCTTAAAAAAGTTTTATGTGACCTTGGCCACGGACAGAGCAAAAGCTTATTTACCACATTCTCCAGTGAGTTTATTTTAGACTTATATACCACTATCATCTGTATGCATCGTTTTGACATTTGAGCACTTTCTCTATTCTATATTTTAACTTGAATATAAAATAGGAAATTTGGCAATAGGAGGCCCGTGGAACCTGCAAGGTTTAAACTCATACACAATATGCCCACTAAAAAAGCAAAAATTTTCAATTTTCACAGTATTTTTTGTCAATTGTCTTATATTGTCATGAGATCGTAAGTTTTTTAATGTACATGATCAGTCATTTTCTAAAGTTTATAACAGACGAATTTAATATTCTGTTTCCTACTGCTAATCCACAACAGCAATGACTTCTATTATCCCTATGTTTTTTCATGACCATCAATTACTTATATGGGGAAGTATATAAAGTATATATCATACATAATGTTATATGTTGTAATGTGAAGTGGGGCACTCCTAACACTTTAATAGCTGTTCTATAGAAAATAAAATACACCCAGTAAAAAGCCATAGCATACCTAAGAACATATCTTAACAGAGTTTGGCAAGACATCATCATGTTTGGTAAGGACTATCTTATAACATATACTAGTTCAAATTGCAACTCTAGAAAAAATATTGAATTATTTCATATAAGTAGCATTAAATGTTTAAATAATCTCTTCATGGTCAATTCATTTCAAACATTACTATTTCGGTGAGATATAAATACTAGTCTGAAATTTGTAATGAATTGACTGACACAAACAATAGTTACCCAGAAGTCCTCTTCTCCTAGGATTAGCTCCAGAGAGATCATTGCATGGACTTCCGCCAAGAAGAAGATCGAAAGGACCCATTTTATAAATTTCATCATCTGTTAATTTTGTGATGTCACCGACATGAACTACTTCGGGGTGTTTGTTTTGTACGAGTCGTATAGCATCTTCATTTATTTCCGAGGCAACAAACTTTCCAATCTAAATAATAAATTAAAATCAGCTGTCAGACCTGTAGATTTACACAGGTTTCGAAATATTACCCGACATAATAATTGAAAAGCACATAACACAATCAAATGCATTTTTTATTGTTTCAAAACCCTACTAAGCTTACTTCAAGTCCTAGCTGTTTTAGTGCCACAATTCCTGTTGCAATTCCATCAAAAAGCGATAAAACTCTGATAGGTCTTCTTGATTGCACTGGCATTGGAGGTGGTACTTGGAATGGTGGCTGTAAAACAAAAGATCAGCGGCTAGGTCTTATTCATCAGCTTCCTCAATAGCTAACAAAATTGAGCCAGTTGATGTTGACTCAATCCCCTAGTAAGGAAACTTGAATCCAATATATGAACAATAAATAGTTCTGCTGCATAAAATTCATCATATCGTGTAAACTGCAAATAGCATATCCCATAATCCCAATGTTTCAAAAAGCGTGGATATTATAAAAATACAGTTTTGTATACAAGGTGTTAAAAAAGTAATGCAAAATTAACAGAAGTTAAGATGAAATGCTACTTAAAACATTTTACAACTGACACCTTTTAACAGTATTGAATTGCAGTGAAATGCCATTTAAACATTTCACAACTGACGTTTTTTAACAGTTACTTTTTCAATGTTGCCATGACGAAAAATTTTACCTTAATTTTGCGTAACTCTTTTAACACCCTGCATAAGCATTGAGTATATTATATAACAAATTATAAAACATGTAACAACTCACAAATTTAGATTCAGTTTTGCACTGATATAGTCTTTGTATTTCGTGCTGCCATTCAGGACGCTTCTTGAGCACACCCTCTTCAGATTCTTTACAGAAATCACAAACCCAGTGCTTTGATTGCACAGCTTCATCGAAACGACCTTGGTGAACAAGAGAATCAAGACAATTCTTACAGTAACACCTGGGAAAATAAATAAGTTTTGATTACAATAACATATATATTTCTCAGAATTATTTTCACCAAGGTTGGCTTGAGCTTAGAATTGTAGTCAGTGATTTAAATAGATTCTGAAATGTTAAAATGAAATGACGCACAATGTCACAAGTCGAATCAACAAACAGAAATATACATCTGATTACCCTGAGTGAGTTCGCAGGTTTGAATCCCATATGGGGATATGTATGTGCGAGAGGATTGCTGGTTTCCTCGCCGCCCTAGTGCGGTTCACATAGACGCTGGTCAATTATGGCTTTCACCATCAAATCCACGCTTCCGGAAACAAATAACTGGCTAACTAATCCCATACCCAACATGGATTAGTATCTGAACGAGAGGCCATGGTTCACCATATGATTAAGCCGTCTTATCATATTTCCTCTCCCACGGGATAAATATAAAAGTCCTATCCCATCCTAAATATCTAATCAAAAGATAAAAATTTTGTGATGCAGGATTTTGCTACTCGATCTTGGTAATAGTCTTCTGTAAAAATTTCACCTTAAACAATCTTTTATATCGCATAACACAAGTTTACTTCCCATGCAACACACAGAACAACATGAATGATAGCCATCCTGAAAAATATATTAAAAATAAAAAAAGATCTTTAACATAGAGCATTTGATAATCATTCCATAATCAGATAATCATTCCATATTCAAACTCAGAACACTGAATCCTACTCTATTATATTGACATGGTGGAAAGTCTATCATGAAATTGCTGGACCATGACTATGATACATATTGGATGTTATTTTATACAAATGGGACAATAAAATTTTAGAATTTTGACAATATTTCACTTTTGTGTAAATCCTACATTCATAACGTTTCAAATTTGATTAAATTGAGGATGCGAATTTTCCAGATACGATATTCTGAAATGAACATCCCTAAAGTTGGTACTACATTTCACAGAAATATAAATGTATCATTGATGATTCAATCTTATAGTTATAGGTGCTAATAGCTTTGACAGGCAAATATAGGTGAGCAAAAGTTATGTCAATCTTACTAAATTCGACACAATAAACTACAGTATTTGTGTAATCAAAATAAATTTGATAACATATATTCCATATTGTACTTGTAGTTTTAATGCATTCATCTTAAATTCAGAGCCAACTAAAAATAGAGAGTTAAAAGAATGATACTCACAGAATCATATTTAAAGAACCATTCATGGAATAATTCTTCATGTTCTTTACATAAACCACCGATAAATAGAGGATGTTTGGCTACGATTTCTTCAGTGGTTCCACAGGCCAGACATATATCTAGCAATAACACAGAATGATAAGAAGAATAAAAAATATCAATATATACTATATAGATAGCTTGTTACTAATCACAGAGAATTTAAACCAAGTGGAGTAGGGATCTATACTGTCACCTGCTATTGTAACTGTTTAGGAGCAATATAGTACTGTATGTAAATTCCATTCCAATTATAGAAGATTTTACTAAATTCAAGCAACAAAGCCAAATCAATCACTCAAATTCATAAAATAAAGCTTTTCCAAACAGAATTATAAAGATGATGTGATTATTTGACAAGATTATGTTTAAGTTCAAATGTGTTTGGCGATAGCTTTGATAAATATTTTCCGATAATTGAATGATTAAAGAAATTGGTTCATTTCAAAGTTTCAAAAGTTTATAATTTTTGGGACATAAACAAGATTACCTTCTATTTTCATAGTTCCATTCATAACTTTTTTAAAATTCATTTCGTCCCGATCTTCCATTTGATTTTCTTTAGAATTGTCTGAATTCGAAGCCAATGATTCTTCATCAGAGGACACTTCCTGCATTTGAATAATTTCACTAAATAGTTTATTACCTTCAATACCTCAAGAATAATAGCCACAACCGAACTAAAACCAAATTTTGATGTTTTAGCTAAAAATAACTCTGGGAATTTGTTGAGATTGCGATAAAATTCAGTCGACAATAACACGAGAACAGCTTTGATACGTTTATTTCCAAATCTTAACACTTCTGAGGTAAAGCAAGACAAGTATAAATTGGACATGGGCAAACCATGACTCGCTGAAAATAATTCTGAGAATTTGTTGAGATTGCGATTAAATTTATATTTGGCACGAGGCTTATTGTTTTCCCCTTTTGCTTTTGGAACAATGTTAATATTCTTTTCAAGTCACACTCACAGACACAGCCAGTCTAGGTGGGCGAAATCGTTGGTATGGATGTAAGTTGTGCAACAAGTGAGTAGCTTTTAAGGTCGGCGCAGATGTGACGCATGCAAACGAGATAAGTAGGCTATAAGTTTGAGAGCCCCACCTGGCCGTGTTCACAGCACCAATAAGTTTTTCTAATTTTGATTGTTTTTTTATAGACCGTTGATAAAACCTAGGCCTACTTATATTTTAATACTCGAAAACAGTGGTTCTCAAACTGTGGGACACGCCCATTTTTTGAGGGGGCGTGAAGCTGATTAAAAATGAAAATATTTGTTAGACTTATTTTAAATTTTTACATTTCTTTATTTTGGATATTTACGTTCCATCCACATATTTTAAACATGTTTTTGAATAAAACATACTTTTGTCTTACTTGCCTTATTGTCAGCTAGTTATTTTTGAGGTGGGCCGCGAGACTCGACGATTCTAAAAAGAGGGTGTGGCTTAAAAAGTTTGAGAACCCCTGTACTCTATTTTAAATATACTTATTAATGACCTACACAACTAGATGACTCAGAAACTTCTCTTCTTGTGAACTTTGCTTTCTTCTTCTTCTTCGATTTGAACATGCCAGCTTGAAATCGTTCAACTGGTTTGATTTTCTTTCGAAGACCCAAATCAGCCTGTAAACAGAATGAGAAATTAATGAATTTTCTTCAACATGAGCGAATATACACAAATTTTTCTAAAAATCTTGCCAAAGATAAAATTGAGGAAGAGTCTACTATTTTCTTACTGACAGTCAAACAATGGCAAGATCAGTGATTATCAAGAATAGTTTGTCAGTATGAAACATCGAGATTTCAGTAAGAATATGAATAGGCATAGGTTGGATAAAATTGAAATATATAGAAATAATGGCGCTCTAGAAGTGCGTGTAGCAATATGGAGGTAACTAATTTTGTTCGACTACTTTACATCAAGTTGTGTGAGAGACTGAAACCTATGGGCAGGGGGTATATTCACTTGGCTAGTCCCCGAACTAGTAATAGAACTAAAATAAAGAAAATCGGGATAAAACTATGGCCAAACCCTAATCTGGCACACACACTTCGGGAGTACCGAAATAATAGCCTATCCTTAATAAAGTCATGCCAAGGTTCTCTTTCCAATTTTTTAGTAATCTGAGAACAAAATTGTAAACTACTTAAATACTTAAATTAAACTTACTCTTCCAGGTGTCAGTAATTTGGTGGTATCTTGTTCATTTGGTGATGAATCTTCATCACTATTTTCCTATTTCATCGAAAAGCAGGGTTGATTATTAGTTAAATTAAATTGATTAATAAATTGGGCATTGGATATATTGCGTCCAAAATATCTCGCGAAATACCTTTTCAGAACAGGATATAATTATGCAATCATCTTTTTCTTCAGATGATTCTTCTTCTGTGTCTTCACTCCAACATGGGACTTGATACTTCAGACCACTTTTTTTCTTGGCATACATATCATCAGACTAGAATAAGAGTATATGTATCAATATAGATGTCAAGTATGAATAATATAGAAAATGACTGAGGCAGAATGCTAGCTTGAAGGTGTGATGATTATAATGGTAGAAATCATCTGAGCCTACAGAAGATAATACTTAAATATATGACACTATGTAAATATTTCTAAAAAAATTACAAAATATTGTGCCTCCATAATCACAAAAACATAAATTGAATTACGGTAGGAACATACGATATCACTCTCTGATGAACATGAATCATAAGTATCATCCTCCCACTTCCTTCTTTTTGCATTTTTTGATGAAATATGATGACGCATCTGAGAATATGAATAGATGGTTAATAACATGGTAATGAGCAGTAACAGGGATCATTACATGTCATAAGAACTATAAGTGAGACTTATCACTTGGTTGAGTCCATGTAATACGACATTTCAAGACAGAAGCGTAACAACCGGGTTGATGTTTTTGTTTACTGCTCCCTGGTTTTAGAATGGGAGAGGAGTACTAGCAATTAAACTGACAACTTGTTGTCAAAATAAGGAAGGAAAATATTTAAAATTGCACTGCTCAGGTTCACATAAAAAACACAATCATGGTACAAACATACCTTAGAATTAGTCATTTTGCTGCATGGTTCAGACTCTGTTGCTGTTGGAAATCATTGCTGCAAGATTTAATTTATCGCTTTGAGGTTTACTTGAGCTAGGTTAAATTCAAATTGTACTAAACTTACGTTACTTAACACTTTAGATTTAGGAACGCGATTTGAGCTATATTGATGTTCTCTATATTGCTGAGGAGAAGATAAATTCAAGTCAGTACTCCATTCAATGTCTTCAATCACGCTTCCTTTCTGATGATTGGTTTTGGTTGCCTAGGAGGAAAGTCTCACTATAAATTATTTCTAGTTTCTAAAAAGCATTGAATTGTGGGTACTGCTACTGCCGTAGTATGCGAACCAAGATGGCGGACACCGGAACGTAGTATGTGTACCAGGTCAGGGTTAGGCCATAATTTTATTCCAATTTTAGTTCTATCACAAGTTCGGAAACTAGCCAAGTGACTCCTGTAGTACTTGTACCTGAAATTATGGCCTAACCCCGACCTGGTACACATACTACGTTCCAGTGTCCGCCATCTTAGTTCACATACTCAAGGAGTACCGAATTGTGTGCACTGTGCATAATTAAAACATTTAAATGGGGAGGATGCAAACTCCCTTTTTATTCATATTGTTTCTAGAGAGGTATGGTGCAGATCAGCACTGTGTAGTCTGGAGCAGTATGAAATACATGAAATGTTTTTGTTTCCTGCAGCTAACTTTCTTGATTCGTGCCTATTTTATTGGTATGTATATGCTATGTTATATTCTTATTGGCATGCATCACCAAAAAGATTACCAATTACTGCACTCACCAAGTTTTCAACTAATGGTTCCTCGACAATCTCACTGATAGAACTTGAAGTTGGCAACATAGTAAGAGAACCTGAAAAGACATGACATAGATCAAAAAGTTGTTTCACTTTGAATGATAAATACCCAATAAAGCGGCCATGGATTTTTATCATATGTGATATGGCAATAACCACTGCTGCAATATAATCTTCCTCAAGAACAGTAGAAGGCAATACTTCTCTTACAGCAGTACGGCACGGTTCTCAGATACCAAGAATAGCCCCCACACTGGAAGATATCAAATATAACAATGAGTGCAATCCCATCCCCTACGAGACAGTCTTGGCCTCCTTATCGAGCACCGCACAATAAACTAAAAGGGAGCGCAACCTGAAAATGTCCCCATCAGATTCCTCAGATAAAATAACCATAGCATTAGAGTGTTTATAGTGAAAAAAAACGCAATTTTGGTCATATGACTGCCTTGAATAATTTAGATTATTATCAATATAAGCACGGCGCAATCGAACAAATCTGCCGTCGTGCCAGATGCCCTTGTTTCAGAGACAAATGTCAGAACATCCCAGAATTGGAGAACTGTGCCCTACTGTCAGACTGTACCTATGATATTGAAATTCTGCGATTGGCTGTCTTCGGTATCTTCCAGATCCACACAAAAAATCTTATGTCCCCATCTTTGACAAAATCCTTTAACCCACTTGGGATTACTGATAATTTTACTATAGTCTTTTCCTAGTTTCAAAGATTTCAGAATAGCCTGAAGAACACTGGATAAATCCGAACTTGGAAAGCCTTGTTGTCTATAAACATGCTCCACTGTCTTGGCCAAATTTTCCTCGAGGTTGGCTGGAAGATTGCGCAATCCATTCATGGTGTATAATGGCCTTAATTCACCTCTGCGCCTGCTAACCAGTTCTGAGGTTACATCAATCATTGAGGACATGTTTTGAATACACATTATTTCGTCAAAATTAACAAGTCCACATTAGAATTACAGAATTAGAAAAAAATTACAAAAAAGGTTGATTTTATGCATATTATTGAACAGTGATATTTAGGGCTGTCCAAGCGAACCAAATATTTGAAATCGAATCGCAAATTATTCGAATCGTTTTTCGGCTAATTTTCGAATCGCTAAAATTAGGTACATAAAGCAGAAAAGGCTTGAAACCACTTCTGGAGGACGTTTTTCATGCGGCGCTTCGAGCTTAGATCACTTTCGCTCCCAGCTTAATTGGTTTCGTTTTTGAGAGAGAACAAGGAAAAAAAGGCAATTTAATACCGTTAATAAACGATAGTTCTATAAATAGAATCGATTTGAAGCTATAGAGTCAGTTATCATATGAACATGGTATAGGCAACTCAGATCTAAAACAGGTATTGTGGGATCCTTATGATGGCAATACCTTCTTTCAATGGAATTTGTAATTTCTTATGATGGCAATGTACTGCATTATCCATCTATTTACCAAGACAAATAATTTTATCTATATTAATGATTGATATCATTTTGCTGAAATTGCACAAAAAAACATAAGACTAGTAATAATAGGATTAAAATAGCATCTACAAGCTTTACATGCCCTATTAAAACTTAATCCATTACAATTGAGAGTGCAATTTTTAATCTCAACACTCAAAAGTTTTCGAAACCCTAATTTTTTTGACCGGTTCATACAAGCGTGTGATCTCCTTTCATAAATCTGAAAACATGGTATTGCAAAATACCAGCAGTAAGTCACATAAGTTACCACAACATCGAAGGGCAGGCGTTTATTGTATATCAGAGATGGATTTAGGATTGCGCAATAATATTCGATTATTCGGTTCGATTCGGCGAAAATATTCGATTCGAATCAAAAAATTATTCGGTTTTGGACAGCCCTAGTGATATTTCAATATTTGTGCTCATTAATATTTCTAGTAAACAAAGTCAAAGTCCAGACCAAATAACAGTGCTTTGCTTTGATCTCAAATACATCAGTCGGTCATCAGTGGTGATAACTGGGTAAATGCTAGGAGAAATTTGCCTTTGCATCAAGTTGCAAAAGTGAATGTGAAATATTATTAATTAGTTATTTTGTATATATTTTTAATTATCGAAAACGAAAAACAAAGAATTATTGCATATCATGTCAAGTTTTTTTGTGTAACAAGATCTGAAGATTGTGTTTAAATTCTTCTATGTTTTCTCCTTGCTACAAGAGAGTTTCTTCTCTTCACTATGACATTTTGAGACAATTTTAAAAAAATACAGCATTTCACTCTAACCACATTTTATATTGTGCGGTACACAATAACAATATAAAAGCATTATGTTCCAAAATTGATAAATGAGAATAACATACAGACATAGACTGTCAGACTGTTCAGCTGTTCCATGATTTATATCAAATAGAATGCAATATTTATAATTATTACTAAATACAGCAATATCTGAATATACAATGATTTATTTTTAGTGCAACAGAAAAAATATAAATGAGCACATTGTGTGTGAAAAGACGATTCCAAAATAAATGAGATATCAACTCAGACTGTTGCCTACACGTTCAGAAGTTACATAACACGCATACCAGTACTTCGTAAGTACATATGCACACAAGCGACTGTAGCGGCACAATTTCTAAATAATACATGGAGCGTGTCGCAATGTGGTACAGCAGTACAGTAATTTCGGGTCTGGTACCGTATAGTTTAGTACCACATCTACACTTCTAGTTGGCCTGGCTCAACAATTTTTGCATATGTCAATCCTAATTCCCACCTGAATACGTCACTAAAACAAATTACGTAATTGCGACGTCACAGTGGCGTAATAAGGCCCACCAAAGTATGCAGATGGTCGTCCAAAACGCGCAGACGATCACCCGAAATCGAGCAAGCTATTTCTCTCGTTTTCTCGTCACAACGATCACGATAGAAGAGAGATCGCCGGCGTTAGCGAGTCGTTAACGGCGTCGCAGATGCCATTTCGGGTGATCGTAATGATACTTTGGCAAGCCTTATGACGTGCTGGTGACGTCGTAGTGACGTGATTTTTGTATGACATAGTCAGATGAGGGTTAGGAATAACATATGCAAAATTCGTTATGCTACGCCCACTGGAAGAACTCGTGGTACTAAACTATACCGGTACTAGACCCCTAAACTATACCATACCGTGGTACCGGTACCGTACCTACCGTACGCTCCGTAATACAATGACTGTTTCGAGTAGCGACTTCCATATTTACTTCCATAACAATGATAAATCAGTAACATGTAGAAAATGACGTAACAATACACGTTTAAGCAGCCATTCAGACAGCTACGGCACCACTTCGAGTCAGGCAGATTTCCTGGCACTCAGAATTAACTGAATGCAGTTTGCGCGCGCTTTTTCGCCTTTCTTTGGTTTAGGTCAGTGTTTTTTTTTTTTTTTTTAAATGGATCCACAATGTGGATTATTCAATATGTAAATAATAAATAAATTAAATATAAATAAAGATACCTCTAATTACTCTGCGTGGGTTCGCAGGTTCGAATCCCATGCAGGGATGGTTATGTGCGAGAGGATTGCTGGACTCCTCGCCGTCGTTGGGTGGTTCACGTAACCGCTGGTCGGTTACGGCTTCCTCCACCACCAAGTCCATGCTTCCGAAAAACAAACAATACAGTAAAAACTAATCCCATACCCGACTTGGAATGGTAACCGGACGAGAGGCCGTGGTTCGCCATATGGATAAGCCGTCTTATCGGCTTTCCTCTCCCCCGGGATAAATATGTAAATCCTATCCTATCCTATATATTGTGTACCGCAAGTGAACAAACATATATATCAGTAATATCAAGATAATTCCATCAGATATAATATTCCATATAATCCAGGGAGTTCCAATAATTCATTTGTTGATTTCGTAATACAAATTACATAGTTTATATTTAATTATTTAGCATGAAAAAATATAATTTTATAATTATTCACAAGTTATTACAAATAATGGCAAGTTCTTTTATATAACAAAATTCCTTTCTCACTTTTTCTATATTTCTTCTCATTAAAAGTGAGTTCCTAGGGTTATGATTTTGAAATATTACAGCGTTACGCTCTAACCAAATTTTATATCTTGCTGTAAAAAATACCAATATAATAGCATTACTTTGTATAATGGATAAATTTGTATAACAGTGGTCATTTAAGTCCAATAAAATGCAAGTTTTATAATTATTTTTTATCACACAGTTACTCATTTTTAATGCCACAGAAAAAATATAATCATAGACATTCTGAGTAAAAACACAATTCCAAAACAAATGAGACACAAATTCAGAATCTTGTTTACATAACACACAAATATCATCCCCAGAAATATGTTTTATTCTTGGCTTGACTTTGATTGATAAAATGCCCCACATTAATTTCAACCGCCTGACCGCGGAGCGGCGCCGGTCCGCAACAACCTTGTTGCCGGTCCGCAAAATATATTCCAATATTATTATTGGACACGTTTAGTGGCCATAACGATCGTTTCAAATTTCTTTCGTCATTATCATTAAAAAATCGCTTTTCTCTCCGAATACTGGACCAATTGCTTTGAAATTTTCAGTGGTTAAAGATAAAATTTTTCTCCAGTAGGCTATCACTTTTTTTTCGCTATGACGTCATCAAAATTATTGCCATTGGGTGGCGTGTCCATATATTTGAGCATAGCTCTCTTGTATTATAAGCAAATTACAAAATATTGATGACATGTCCATTAGTTTTGTGATTTTTCTTTATTCTTCTTAGATCGTAGTACGGTATTCGTCTAACAACTAAACTCCGCCCATTTCGAGCCGTGAAAGGAGTAAGTCTATGACCTCATAACGGGATAACGTCATAACGGAAGAGTTTAATAGCACATAGTACGGCAGCGCTTCACAACCAGTGATCCACGAACTCGTTGCTAAATTATACGTATTTTTCTATATTTTGTGTTAGAATTGAAATTAATTCGACTTTTTAGTAGGATAGCAATGGTTTTCTCGTGAGAATCTCAATCAATTCCATCAATTTAGGCGCTCGAGCGTGACTATCGGATTCGTCTGCTGTCAAATTTGCCCAAAAGCGTGAAAATGTATAAATTATTTTATGGCATCACCCATAACGCAACCGTGCAAAATTGTCGCAACAATATGCGGCGCACGCTCGAACAGAAGATAACAACCAATCAAAGTTCTATTTCATCGTCATTAATATACGTGAAAAGACGCAGAAAATCGCTTGAAGATTTCACTCGAAAACGAAACACCCAGCTGACAGCGAAAAATGGCTAACATTCGCAATTATTCAAAAATTTGCCGAAAAAGTATTAAAATATTCGATTTGTTTTGGGCAACCCTGCCCTGACTTATTTTAGCCCTTGAAACAAAAATGCTTATAAAGGTGGTCCGCGAAGTAAAACTTTCCGTGAGAGTGGGGCGCGACATAAAAAAAAGTTTGAGAAGCGCTGTAGTACGGTACATGATTGAGAACTTCGCAGTTCGAACGTTCCGTAATTTGACAGTCGTAATTGCATTCTTTTGATGAAGTTTTGTGTTTTTGGTTAATTTTGAAGGTCCGCCGGTCCGCAAAATTTGTTTTGAAATTTTACCGGTCCGCGAACTAAAAAAGGTAGACAACCACTGGTTTAGGTTACCTTAGTCTTTCGTGTATGTCACTCTTTTTTTTGCCGGAATGAAATAATTTTTTTTATTATTTTAGTTTCGAAATTTTTTTGAACAATATGCGTGCTCTCACTGCTTTGTTCTCTCGCTACGCTTGAGTGCGGCTGTATCGTATTCTTTTAAAGCGATTTTGTGCTGCATGCAGTCCGTCCTCATCCGTAGCCGTTGGAGAATGGTAATCAGCTGAAAACGAGATACTGTACCATATCAGCACGATTGCCATGCAATGATTGGAAGTCAAATACATATAACCTATGTGCACAAAAAATGAGTATTGAAGTTGCATTTCTCTGTATTCATTTTGGTATGCATAGTGCTCAGTGGTCTACTTGTCTACTGGTCGGCTGATGGCCTACCGGTGCCTCATCGCCATTAAGAGTACTGTATCAAATAAAGTATCGTTTCATAAATTATAACCTGAAGTCCTAAAATAGTCTTGTTTCAGAGTTTAACAATTTCAAGTAATTCCCTTGTTTCCTAATCTATTGTATCAACTGTTTTACCTTGTTACTGACAGTGATATATTAATTTTAAATTTCCAGATTACTGCATTGATTTCTACCGTACCGTACTAATTATTCATAGAAATGATTACATAAAAATGTCAAACATGCCCGAGTTTTCATGGAGTCACCAGAAAGCTGATACGATTTTTTTGTGTCAAAAGGCCTGATTTGACGAAATGAAAAAGAAAAGGTGCATCAGACAACACTCAGCAACTTCTTAGTTTCCATGCAATTGCAACACTGGGATGGCCGGTTGTGGAATATTTTGTATCAAAATGCTGGTTAGGAATATATAAACCAGTTTATGGGCGCCAACTTGCAAAACCACTTCTATAATAAGCATTAAAAACTTGGTAAAGTGTGGGAAAAATGTTCCGAGGGTCAAAGGTCGTGGACCTGGGTAAACCTCACTGAACTGGAAATATATGGGACGATATTCTCTTTCGTTTCGCGTTGTCTCAGCGCGGGATCAATTGATCGCCG